TGAGGGGTGATAATGGAAGAGAGAGAGAGAGAGACGGGGAGTGCAGAAAAGAATGTAAGAACAAGCAGAGAGAGAGAGAGATAGAGCGAGAGACATTAAAGTATCCTGTAAGGCTGCATGTCTCAGTAGCTGGACTTTTCTGGAGAGAAATAATAAGTAGCAGTGTAAGTACAAGGTGTTTCACCAGATCCACTTCCCCCAGAATAGGAAAAGAGCCTGGTTATATGGTTGGGCTGCAGAGCAATGGAGCAGTGACTTCTGCACTTGTAAAAACAGAGTTGAGGCCAGTGCACAGACAGAGAGGCAGAACGGCTTTGAACCACAGAGGGGAACATGTAAGAACCACGTGGACTCCAGCACAGCAGGACGAGAACACAGCACAAAACAAAGAACTCGGAAAACCTGTAGGAAAACCTACAAAAAAAAAACTAGAAAAAATATCGTTCAACCAGTGTCAGCCTATAAAAGACAGACAAAAACTAGCACTCCAAAAAACAAACAATAAAAATGCTAAAGTCTTCTTGTTTAATTTAATGTAATCGCATTTAAATAATCAAGATAACGGTAGCGAGGAAAGATTGATTCAGAACAGAGCGTGGTTTATTTACTATGGATTTGATTGAAAAATTACTCCGGTCGTCTGATTAAAGTCGACAGGCCGTCAGAAGCGGAAAGAGAGAGACCCCTGGGTGTACGAGAGCTAACAGCTCCTTTGGGAAGCTAATGAAAGTCGTAAACAAAGGAAGAGGATTTCATTGACAACGTAAACAGTTCCTCGAAAGATAAGGTCTGCTGTTTGGAGAAGAGCTCAGAAGACTTTTTATCCTCACCCAGGTGGCTGATAAAGCAGATGAGGCTAATCTTAATAGCAGACTGTTACACGCCTCTCATTGACTTGGCCTGAGTTTAACTTCAAACCACTGTGCCACTGTCTAGACCGTAGACCGAACAGAAGAACTGGACCTGGCCAGACGGGCTCTGCTGGGTTTGGAAGCAACTCCGTATGATTGAACGTCTAAGAGGGAAACAAAGTCAGTTTTCACTGGATTTACAAAGTCAATAAACGTAGTTTATAGTGGAGGTCGATAATTTGAGGTCTTTCTAGACGGAACATAATGTCAATTAGCGTGATTGACGGCTGGACCCGGAGCCTGGCTTAGTCAACGTGCACATCAGACACGATGGCCCCTCCCACGTCTTAGAAAAACAAAAAGAAAAAATATATAATATTTTTAAATTATTTTTTAATAATTTTTTTATCTTTTTTTTCCTTAAATTTATTGTTTATACTCCAATTTCCTGCCATTTAAGTCATGATGTACATGGATAATAATGTAAACATGGCATTGAAATCATTCTGTTATACCGTATTTGCAGCTGCATTGTTACATTTTGTCATATTGTCAATGGAACAGTGTAATATTCAAATGTACGGGTTGGACATTCAGAGTCTGTCACGTTCTAACCTAGTCGTATCCAGAAGAACGGGAAGAAAAACTGCGCAGCAAACGTAACTGTGGTTTTGACTTAACAAGTTTGTAACTATGCACTGGAGACTACAGTGAAGGAGCCAAGAGGCGGAGCTCCGGGACGTGAGCGCCGAGGAGTGACAGTTGAGCCTCCGTCAGGCCTTATGTAATTCCAAAGTTTTCCTCACAGTCAGCCTCTGACCATAATGTAATCATTGGGCTGTCACGACCACTCTGTGCTGACAGAGGTGCCTGAGTCACACTCACACCATACAGATTGGCAAAGTTACAGGAGGAGTGATGCAAACAACTCAGCCCCCTCTCCTCCCCC